GAAATTAATAAGAGTAATAACATTTTTGGGTGACCTAACCCTTGTAAGACATTTGAGAATGTCTTATGCAGGGGTGTCCAAACTTGTTCCTGGAGGGCCGGTGTCCTGCATTGTTTAGCTCCAACTTCCTTCATCACACCTGGCTGGAAGTTCTAGTATACTTAGTAAGAGCTTAATTAGCTGGTTCAGGTGAGTTTAATTGGGGTTGGAACTAAAATATGCAGGATACTGGCCCTCCAGAACTGAGTTTGGGCACCCCTGGTCTAAAGATATCAGACAGCTGGTTGTCAGTGGAACAGCGGAAAAAGAAATCCTGAAATAGCATCACTAAAATACTGTATTGTGAGACAAAGCGGTTCTGCAAGGTTGTGCATTTGACTCCTGCCATGTTTGGTCAAAACAGCGCACTCCGCTCATTTACAACTGATTGCATTTGTTTTTAATTTCAGATGAAGATCTTAATCACTGACACTGAATATAAAGTGGCTGTGAACAAATCACACCTTCTGGAATTCAAGCATCGGGTCTTCGAGCTCAACCAGATCACAGGTCTCAGCATCTACAATGACGTGACCCTCAGCACTGTAAATGTGGAGACGCTGCAGTGAGATTATATCGCTGATCCTGTTATAGTTTGATCTTTTGACATCTATGCAACCACATTATTACCTCCAGTAATTTCTGTTTTATACCATGTGGCAATGGAGTACATCTTTCCGTTTTTTCCTGCAACACTTGTTTTGAAAGTACTTTTTCCATTCATTTTATCATAGGGTTTTCATAAAGCTATTAGAATTAAAGTGATACACTCTTAGAAGTAAAGCTACAAAAATGGTCACAGGAGCGGTACCTTTTAAAAAGGTACATGTTTGTACTCTACAGTTGGACATTAGCGCCTTTAGGGCAGTGTTTCTCAACCATCAGCTCTGCACATTTTCGATATCTCCTTAACCAAACGCACCTGATTCAGATCATCAGCTCATTAGCAGAGGCTAAAAGACCTGTAATGGTGTGACAGACAAAGGAGACATCCAAAACATGCAGTTCTGGTGGTCCTCCAGGAACGTGGCTGAGAAACACTGTTTTTGGGAACACCTTCATATTTTTTCAAGTTTAAAATATAATTTTTTCTTGTGTTTAAAGCTTTTGTCACGACCCCACTTCAGTGTCTGAAAGTCATTCAGAAATTATTATCAAATGCTGGATTAATGCACAAGAAAGTTTTTATTAAAACAGTTTTGCAAACATGTTTTATACTTTTTCAAATATATTCTTGCCCTTGCTGTACAAGTGCATGTAAAGGGTCAATAAATATGTAATGTGTGCATATATATAAATGATGAAAAAAGGACCCCCCTACAAAAATTTAGCTGATTGAATGGATTTATTTTGAATACATTAACTATAATGTATTGTTGGGCTAAACCCAAAGTTGTTTTTTGTATATCCTGTAGAGGGCGCTTCATGCATAAAAGACGTTGAACAGAGCAGCTCGGGTCAGAGTTCATTAAAGAACGTCAGAGCTCGTATTGATTTGTGTCTTTACTTCTCTGCAGTTTAAACATTTCACTTACCCGTTTGGGTCTCCTCAGCCTGAGGCGGGTAACATGCACATACATTGTATACCCATAGTGTTTACATGGTCATAATACATCAGGTTTATAGTTTGGGCTTGCTTTTGCAGCTGGACATTACTTTACAATGCCCTTGATGGGTGAACATTAGCCAGTGGGGGAGTGTCCTTTGTCTTTACAGGTGTGAATTATTCATGACCATTGTCACTCCCACGCATACAGCTGAGCTGACCCAAAATAGACTTTACAAAATGTAAACCATTGTAATGTTTTAGTTGAATGAGAGAACAAAATAATTTTCATATATATATATATATATATATATATATATATATATATATATATATATATATATATATATATATATATATATATATATATATAAAACGCAAGCATGTACATCCATATTTCTCACATATTACTGTGCCACAGTCTGTGCTGAATACAAAAAAATAAAACACATGTTGGCTAACACGTAGCTAAAATAAGCAAAAATGTCAGGGCATGTCAAAACATCTTAGGGGCCCCAAAATCACTTAAGACCCTAGAGCAGAGATGTCCAAACTCGGTCCTGGAGGGCCAGTGTGCTGCTGAGTTTAGCTTTAACTTGCTTCAACACACCTGCAAGGAAGTTTCTAGTATGTCTAGTAAGGTGTGTTTGATTAGGGTTAGGGTTACAAATTAAATCACAGCATGTTCATTTAAAAGTGATCATAGCTGTATTTTTCATCTTCATCATCACCTTTAAGAGGGAAGATCACTGTTGGCAGTGTTTTGTATGACTGATTTCTGCCAGTGACATCCTACATGCACTTCTGGCATTTTGCTGTCTGTAGAACACTTAAGACTAACATATATTTAGGGAAAGCTTGTTTCTGAGCCTATTGTATATTTTGGAACATTCAATTTGGGTATTTGTTCCAAATCTTAAGGTAAAATAATAGAAGATAATGAACAAAAAATGTTCACTCAAAAAATTAATTAGCTCTTAAATCTATTGCATTTCTAACATCTATGGGTCATAATTTTTGCTGCTTGAAAGTTTTTCTGTTGAATCAATTGAATCAACTTTTCTAGTCATCTCAACTTAAACTGACTAAAATTGTTACAAAGTTAAACTTTGTTGAACTCAAAATATTTAGTTGAAACCTGACTAACTTGATAAAATGAGTTTAAAAATGTATTTGTAACATGATTAACTAAATAAAAAAAAGTATTCTTCTTTTTGTCAAGTTTTTAAGGTGTATTATTTTAGCAAACATCATTTGGTTGTCTGAAGTGATGACAGTCAAACATTAAGTCTATAAGTGTTTGTGTGTCCTACATACACTCACCGGCCACTTTATTAGGTACACCTGTCCAACTGCTCGTTAACACGAATTTCTGATCACCCAATCACATGGCAGCAACTCAATGCATTTAGGCATGCAGACATGGTCCAGACGGACTGCTGCAGTTCAAACCGAGCATCAGAATGGGGAAGAAAGTTGATTTAATTGACTTTAAATGTGACATTGTTGTTGGTGCCAGACGGGCTGGTCTGATTATTTCAGAAACCGCTGATCTACTGGGATCTTTATGCACAACCATCTCTAGGGTTTACAGGGAATGGTCCGAAAAAGAGAAAATATCCAGTGAGTGGCAGTTCTGTGGGTGCAAATGCCTTGACAATGAGTTCACCGTACCCAAATGGCCTCCACAGTCACCAGACTCAGTCCAAAAGAGCACCTTTGTAATGTGGCGGACTGAAAGAGTCGCATCATGGATGTGCAGCCGTCATATCGGCAGCGACTGTGTGATGCTAATATGTCAATATGGAGCAAAATCTCTGAGGAATATTTCCAATATCTTGTTGAATCTATGAAGGATTAAGGCAGGTCTGAATGCAAAAGGGGGTCCAACTCTAGCACGGTGTATTTAATAAAGTGGCCAGTGAGTGTATTTTTAGGGCAAAATACAGGTTTTTGAGTCAAAATATACAGCTACAGACATAAAGGAAGTTTAGAAGTTCATGTTGGGGAAAAAACTGTATGGATACAAGTAGAGCTTGCTTGTTTTTATACATTATTTAAAATATTTAGCTAAAAAGTTAAATCTAAAATATTTGAATTGTTCATTAATAATGTATTATTAGTATTACATTTTTTTTTTTTTTTTTGATAGGTGAAATAAATATTTTTTCCATCTGGGTAATTTGAAAAAATCCTTAATCTTTAGCGCTTTGAGTCTAAAATTTCATTCAAAAAGGTCTTAAAATGTCTTAAAAAGTCTTTTAAAAGGTGAAACCTGTAAGAAAAAAAGTATGAAGTCCGTGTACAATCAGTAACTGGTCACATAATAAATAAAAACAAGGAAATGATGTTGATTTTATAATGTTTAATAATTCACCAGTATAAAAGACACACACATGACATATATAGTGCATTTGCATATGTGTATAATAATAATATAAAAACAATACATTCATTTGCCCTGCATTATTAAAGAAGTTGACAAGGCAACAATACAATACAAAGAGCAATTCAATTCAGCAGTCCTCAGGTGTGCTAGGGTCGCTGAGTTGTTTCTCCTGTCTTACTCCATGACCTGAAACATAAATCAGTGTTATTTGTCTGAATGCATTACATTTTGGACACAGTTTAAAGGATTAGTACACCAACAAATGAAAACCCCGCTCTTAATCACTCATTGCAATCCCCTGAGACTTTTGCTCATCTTCTGTATTTTTTTTTTTGTAGGCTTACAAATACCTTTATATGATTAGAGTTAAAGTCACATCCATTGTTTAAAAAAGTTCTTTTTTTTTGATCTAAGACAGAGGTGCTCAACCATGTTCCTGAAGATCTACCTTCCTCCAGAGTTCAGCTCCAACTCTGATCAAGCACACCTGAAGCAATTAATTAGGACCTGAACAGCACTTGATCATTACAGGCAGGTGTGTTTGATATGAGTTGCAACTGAAATCTGCAGGAAGGTAGATCTCCAGGAACGGGGTTGAGCTCTCCTGATATCTTAATCTTAAGATGAAAGTCTCAGTGGGTTGGAACGACATGAGGGTGAGTAATTAATGACAGAATTTTCTTTTTTGGGGGGGTAAGGTAATGCTATAAGACTTAAGATCAGCGGTGTCCAAACTTTTTTCATGAAGGGCCAAAAACCAGTCTTGATTGAGCTTGTTGGACCAAAGTATACCAAACTCATTACATTAAAGTTGCTATTGGTGATTTCCTAAGTCATTCAACATTTAAACAAAACTAGAGAGCATTGATTTATACTAACTAATGGAGTATGTATTCGTACATTAAAAACATTACTTTTTAAATTACTAAACATTGCCTTGATGTGCATCGCCGATGTCTTCCTCTATTTATTGAGTGACTATTTATATTTAATATAACATTTAATCGAATCATTTACTTTCAATTTGCGTTTTTGTTGTTATTCACACTCTCTTCTCAGATGGGATGTTGGGCGAAATCAAAGGGCAAATCAAGTTACCAAGGGGCCAACTTTGGCCTGCAGACTCTAGTTTGGACACCTCTGCTTAAGATGATCAACAAAAGTGAAAAGGCTTCATACCTTAAACCAGTTATGGAGATGCATCTGCTGCAGATCGAGTCTCTCATCTGGGTCTGGCTGCAGACAACCGCAGATCATCCGGCAGCATTCTGTGCAGAAAGAAGAATGGGATGTTTAAGGTTAATAGTTTATAGACCGTATTCTACAATGCCGAAGTGCCTAAGTATTTCCGATTTAGTTGCCTACGGGAGAAATGACTAGGAATCATTAACAGTCAAACTGCTCGCTCTACATACAAGCGTGTTCATGACTGTACATAAAAAGTAGAATGATATAATAAGACGATGTCGGTGTGCAACATTAACCAGCATAGCAAGCAGTTTATAACGTCTTAAAATCAGATTACATTACATTATCAGATCGATTACAATGGTTGCACACGCTCGTCCGTCAAAAATAGTTATAAGACCTGCTCTCTTTACACTTTGATGAAGCTCTCACCTTTTGACAGATCAGGGCTAGTCCAACGATAGTTCCTGATCAAGGAGTGGTCGGAGATACTAGGTAAAGCCCCACACATCATTGCAAACAGGACGATCCCTAGAGACCAAACAGTCGCCGGCTGTGCATGGTACCTGCCACACATTTCATACTCCGGAGGGAAATATTCTCTTGTGCCTAGAAAAAAAAAAAAGATATCATCCAATGGTTTATATATTTAAACAGAATCTTTAGTGTGTGGTTTTTCTGACAACAAAGTTCATAACACTTACCACAGAAGACTTTGTAGCCGGATCTCTTTACGGTCGAACCACAGCCGAAGTCTATTAGCTTTACCTCCAAAGTGTCTGGATTCACCAGGAGGTTTTCAAGTTTTATGTCCCGATGGAAGACACCGCGATCAAAGCAAACCCTCGCAGCATGAATGGCCTGCCACATTATATGGCGTCCCATCTTCTCATCAAGAGGTTTGTTGTTGTGGTTTAAGAAGCGAAGCAAGTCCATACAAGGTGTGGGTCGCTCCATGATTATAATGTAGTGGTCATCGTTGTCCACCCAGTCTATGAGTTTGATTATCTCGGGGACGTAGGGACCATTGTTGGCCATGATTGCCAGGGCAATTTCTGTCGGGAGGGGTTTGACATAACCAGGCTAAAGAGAGAAATGATGACAATTAGATGGTTTCCTAAAGCTCTCTTAATGAAAACTCAATAGTAATCTGACATTAGCATACATATAAGGCTCTGAAACAAACTAATCAAGTGGATTTATCTAAATACAGTTGTAAATGGAGTCTTTAGCTGATCTACTGTTTTTTTTTTCTTCAGATGTTTTATGTAGTAGGCCAATAGTTTCACAAAACCATTTTGTTTTCACTTCTGTTTTAATTTCTACACGATAAAGTCTAGTTTGAATGTAAGCTGCTCGTTCTTCATGTGTGCTGTCATCTTTGTTTAGATCATGATTCAATTACAGTGGTTACCTCTAATTTATAAAAGGAAAGCACACAGCAAAACAAAAGCCTTACTTTACTTGTTTACGTACTTACTAAAAGGACATGTTTTCATTTACTATATAATGTCTTCAATCCCGTTTTTGTCCCATCCTAAGAAAATCAAATCTAGAATCAAATCAAATCATGACATTGAATTGTATCTGGACTACTCACCACTTTGATTTCCTTCATCATCGGTGACTTTACAGTATATTTCACAGCAACCTGATCAATAAAGCAAAGAATTAGCAGTTAGCATGTGGTAGAAGTTTTAAATAAAGCAATGATAAAGCAATGTTTTGTTAGTGAAAGCACCTCAAGTCCATCCCTGCGACGTGTGGCTTTGTAGACTGAGCCGAATCCACCTTTGCCCAGCTTGTCACCAATTTTGTATTGCCTTAAAATGATGTCTGATAAAAAAATAAACAACTGTAGTCAGAATGATGTACAATTTTAGATATATATATATATTTTTTTTTTTTCACGTTTGTAATACTAATAACAATTCTTATCTTACCATTTTCTGTGACGTCCTCCTCTAGCTGCTCAGCAGCAGGGACATGGTCCTCTGAAGCAGAAGCTGTAATATGAATCAAGTCACCGTTATGTAAATATAATTTATATAATACAGATTTTTTAATTAGTCTATGAATGTAAAGTCACATATAGAGACTTGTTTTAATTTCATCCCACAAGGAAATCTGTGTATATGTAAATTTGATATACTGTATGTAATGTGTGTGTAGCCACAAATAAACACATACAAATATAATTATAGCAAATATATTTGTACATATTACATATTTGCTCATTTTTTGCTACTTATTTTTGTACATATGTACGTATTTATAATGCAAATGGCTGAAAAAACATACATAAACGACCATTTTGCAATCATTTAACATATATGGCTATGATTAACTTGTATGTCATATTTGTAATTTGCATATATTTTCATATATCACATTTCTATAGACCATTTTGAGGGATGTAAACATTAACAGTGGTTCTAACATATATCCTGTTTTACATTTTTAATTTTCACAGCTTCCAAGAATACAAAAATTTCCATATATTGATAAATATTGCTGTGATGGCTGTTTTAGCGTTAAGGTATGATTGGATTTGCCTTTTGTTAAGGTTATGAAATAGTTTGACATCAAGCAGGAATTGTTCATGGGCCAATGACATTAATATATTGAAATAGTATATACAAGACAAGTTATAAATTATTACTTGATTAGATTTTTGGCTGTTAAACAATACTTGTATCATAATCACTTGTGAGTGTGATTTTACCTCTACTAGACTTCGAAGTGAAGAGATGAGTGAGTCTCTTCCAGAAGCCCTTTTTTTCCTTTCTTGCTTCAGGAACCTCATCAGGCCCAATGGGTGTTTCAATGGGCTGACAAGAAACTTTTGGCTTCAACATGGCTTCCTGGTAGTCCTTCGTGGCCTGGACGAGGTCGTATGTTCTAGTTTTGCAAAGGAAGTCTGGCCACTTCCAGAAGCCCTTTTTTTCCTTTCTCGCTGCAGCAACCTCATCAGGCCCAACGGGTGTTTCAATGAACTGACTAGAAACTTCTTGATTTAACATGGCTTCATGGTAGTCCTTCGTGGCCTGGACGAGGTCGTATGTTCTAGTTTTGCGATGGAAGACTGGCCACTTCCAGAAGCCCTTTTTTACCTTTCTCCCTTCAGTAACCTCATCAGGCCCAACGGGTGTTTCAGTGGGCTGACAAGAAACTTTCTGATTTACCTCAGCTTCATACTGGTAGTCCTTCGCAGCCTGGACAAGGTCGTATTTTCCAGTTTTGCGATGGAGGACTGGCCACTTCCAGGAGCTTCTCTTTTTCTCCTTTCTCCCTATCTTTCCAACCTCAACATGCGGCTCATTAGAAACATCAAGATGGTTCTCCGGCATGTTGGGGGTGTACTTGAGTAGTACACAGGGACTGTGATCTGACTTCATGATGACAAATGTTTTCTGATAACAAACTGTTAATAGTAAACCGATCAATCTGCAACTGGATATGCCAAAACTACAACCCACAAAAGCAAGTAGTAGAATGTCAGGCGATGATGTCATCCAGGTGCATTCTAAGAATTCTAATGTGGAATGCTTTGGGCTGTTGTTATTTTTCAAATGTTTTAATCTTTCCAAGTTTGAAATGAATGTGATAATTTGCTGTTTTGTGTTCATAGTGGTTTGTAAATGCAGCACAGGGTTGCTTACAGGCTAAAAGTGTTAAGAAACCTGCATGTAGGAGTACATCAGATGTCAATATTGTGACAATTGTATTATATTGGGCAAATAAATTGCAGCAGCCTCATACACATGCTGCTTTCTGTGTTGTTATTAATGGTAAAAGAAGAAAATGACTCACTTTTTGTGACTTGTAAGGATAAACATTATACATATACATAAATATGAATGTATACGTCCCTTATTTTATATATTCATTTTTAATGAGGTCCAAATTATCAAGGTGAACCAACAGTGTCTTTATTTTCGTACTGTTGTTTTTTTTTTTTTTGGTTATCAATTTCTAATGACATTATGAGTAATTAAATTCAGCAAAGAAGCAGTGGATAAACTTTAATTCTATGATTTACTGCACATTTTGTTATAAATCTCTAAAATATTCTTGCAAAATGTGACATTTTGTAAGGAAATATCCAAGCAAATGTGTATGGCTTTGTCTTGCTTTGACTGCTAAGTCTATTTTATAAATTCTGATGTACAGACATGAAAAAAAAAATCTCAGTTTGAGTAAAACAAGTTTTTGTTTCATTCTACACAGTTCTGATCAAATTTCTTCCCAATTTAATATAAATATGTAGCCATTTTAGCATAAATCAATTTAAAATGTAAGTAGAAGTAAGTTTTAGACGTGTTTATTTAAAGTTTAGTTTATTTAAAGCTAAGAAATCAATAGCTTTGGGCACATATAGCACATCAAATAAAAACTTTTGTTATTTTGACCAACTTAAAAATGCTCTAAATGACAATGTTTTCATTTGAAATTTGGAAGATATTGTATCAGTCCTTTATAGAATAAAACTAATAACAGCTTCCCCAAACCCATAACTAATAAACCCAGAGAAATGGAGAATCTCGAATTCCCAAATGCAGGGTTCCACATAATTTATTCATGCTATCCCAACACCAATCGACTAAGTTAATGTAACAAATTTAAGTGGATTGAACAAATTGAGTTATCTCCAAATAATCTCAAGAATTGAGTTGCTTCAGCTAATTTTACTTAAATCAGCAGCAATTTTATGTAATTTTATTTTTATAGCTGTATATTGTGACTCAAAAGTTCAAAATATTACAATTTTTTAGGAAACACAAGCACTTATATACTAAATATTTGAATGTCATCATATTAGACAACAAAATTATGTTTGCCTAAAACCCTTATGCTAAAATGAGAGCACTTTACAAAAAAATCATGACTACAATTTTTTTTATGTTACTTTAACTTATTTAAATAAGTTAATCATGTTCCAACTACTTTTTTTTCAGTTTTTCAAAGTTTAACTTAATATTTTAGTCAGTTTGATTAATATAAGTTTGAATAGAAAAGTTAAAAACAGTGTAGTTATAACCTGTAATCTGTTAGACTTGCTTCATGTTTATTTAGGTCAATGTCTGTTCATGCTCTTCTCTTTCCGTAATATCAAACAGACTATACAGATATATATATATATATATATATATATATATATATATATATATATATAAACCATTGACATCCATAGTAGACACAAACCCTACCATGGAAGTCAATGGCTGTTTTTTCTATATTCTTCAGTATATCTTCCTTTGTGTTCAACAAAAGAAAGAAACCTGTTTACACAATTCCTTTAAAAGCTTTAATGATGAGGGAAAAAAGAACTACAAATCCCATGAAGCATTGCAAATGTCAAAATAGAATTATGAACATGAGAAATATACCACAACAGTATACTAAATAACTCAAAAAAGGTTAAAGATAACCCAACAAAGCACCAAATATTTTAACTCAACTACTGGGTTAAATAAATAACTCATGTACGTTTTCATGTAGAGTTGTTTGTTATGTCTAAAAACAATATAATCCATGTTTATTGAAACAAATTGGTTTTACATATTTTGAGAGCTTAGAGAGACTGCATGAAGGCTGCAATTAACATCAATATTTTTAAAAATAAGTTAAATTCTCGCAAAAAGGTTGGTTTGACAAAAGCATATCTGTCTTTAAAATGTATCAGTTATTAAAAGCAGTACCCATACAGTGAAAATGAATGGGCTTTTTACTTCTTGAACCTGACTGTAGCATTTTATGAGAGTGTTCATTACTAACAATGTTCCTTTTTTATATAAATTGCATGCAAATAAGTGCTGTAGTTAGCTTTCGGTGGGCCTGTTAGTATCCCGGAAGGTTTGGGTTGTCATAAAGTTCTATACATTAGACACATCAGAAAATGTATGATGGTAATGTTGATGATGATTGTATTAGCGGGACATGTGATAGTGGCCAATTAAGAACAGTGTGTTATTAATGTAAAATTAGACCTGAAATAAAATACAGTGTGAATGTAGATCGCCTTAATGATCCAATGATTAAAGAAACAACAACAGATGTAAACACTGAGCGCTGGGCATGGAATTACAATCCACTGTGAGATCTGTGTTGTACACTTTTACTGCCAGCGCCTAATATAAATAAAATAACAGCATTGTAAACTGAAGTCAAGGCAGTTGTACATTTTTAATCATGGAAACAGTCTGTCAGAGACGCCCTGGCAGAAATCTAATAGAAGTGACCTCAATTATGCAGAGGTCTATTTATAGAGTGCCTGAAGCACCTGATGATTCTTCAAGGAGTTCTTCAACCCTGTTGCAACCCACACATGAATCCTCCAGCACTGTGTAACCAATGTGCACATATTTCAGAAATGCTTCTTTGTGTTGTAATTGTGTTTGTTTATGTCTGTATTGTCTATGTGTGTGTGTGTGGGTGTGTGTGTGTGTGTGTGTGTGTGCGTGCGTGTGTGTGTGTGTGTGTGTGTGTGTGTGTGTGTGTGTGTGTGTGTGTGTGTGTGTGTGTGTGTGTGTGTGTGTGTGTGTGTGTGTTATTTGGTTTACAAACCCAGGGGATGGGTATATACATATTTATGAAATTATAATCAAGATATAGAGAACAATAGTGAATAATGTTCTTCTGGCTTCTGTTGCAATTAAATAATTTTTTTAAATATGCTGATACTATATTATATTAGAATATTATATTATATTATATTATATTATATTATATTATATTATATTATATTATATTATATTATATTATATTATATTATATTATATTATATTATATTATCATTCATTTTCTTTTCGGCTTAGTCCCTTTATTAATCTGGGGTCGCCACAGCGGAATGAACTACCAACTTATCCAGCTTATGTTTTACTCAGCGGATGCCCTTTAAGCCGCAACCCATCACTGGGAAACATCCACACACACTCATTCACACACATAAACTACGGACAGTTTTAAGTTAATGTAATATCCGTTACAAGACTAGTGTCTCAAATATATGTCATTTTAATACGCACAGTTTGCCCATTTTAAACAGTGCTCTATTTTTTGTACTTAGTGCGCGCTCGTGTGTGTGTGTGTATGCGCGTGCTCGCGATATATGAGGCAGTGCCCGCTGCGCGCTCACCTGATCTGATCACACACACACACACACACAAAACCACACAGGCACGAAGCGTTGAGTCCTGAAGGACACACGACTTAAAAATCATGTCAAGATGAGCTGAATTTTCTCCGGTGCAGACAGAAGAACAAGACGACGAAGAGTTTCCCTCTCAAGCAACTGAATTCACCTCCTCATCCGACTTTAATTTTATTTTCGCTCAGGTCAGTTCTTAATCTTATATTAATTCATGTTTGGCTCATTACTCATACGTGTCAGTCACAAATACAAATATCTGTGGCGTTACCGCACTTTCAGTGGCTTTATTTAGCATGCGAGGTGATGAAAATGTAGCATTTATTTTGTGTTTTTTCCTGTTGACTTGGTTCGGCATATACAGAGCGGAACTAGCACTAAAACACCCCCGTAAGAGGACATACGTCCTTTAATAGACTTCTAATGACTTGATTTGGATATTTTGTTGATAATGCATGTGTGTTTAACAGCATGTGATCGATTAAGTACTCATATTTGTCTTCTCGTTTAAAGAGCAGATGTATGTGATGGCGTTTCTGTCAGTTAGCTTCAGTGCTAATGAGGATAGACGCAGTAATATCACATACATTATTGTGCGATTTTTATCTCCTTTTTTACACGATAAATGCATATAATTATTTTCAGTACAGTTTTAAAGGTTTTTAATAATTGTAAAGAGCTCATAGTTCACTTTCAGTCCCTATTAAACAACTTATAGACTGTTTTTGGTGCAGTGGCCTGTTCCTAGTTTGAGTTCTGTTTATCTTCGTTTACATTTTACATTTGTTTTTACTCATTTAACACATTTTGTCTTGTTCTTTGCAAAGTTCAAACCTCAGATATACGGATTTGTTGGTCCTATGTAAAATGTTTGTTTTCATTCTGTCATATTTGATAGTTCAAACCTCTGATATACGGATTTGTTGGTCGTAGGTAAAATGTTTGTTTTCATTCCCCATATTTGATAGTTCATACTTTCTGCTATTGGTGTAAAGCTGGTGATATATTTCCAAATTCTCTTTCTCTTTACTAATGTAAGTCCACAAACATATTTTTTGCACATTCTAAATGGGGAAATCATATTAGCTATCAAAGTAAACATTATTCACAGTCAATTAAATACTTCTAATGTTGTTTTGAAGTCATTCATACTTGTGATTTCAGACTGAATATTCAAAGTACCATGATACACAATATAAGGAGTGAGCCACAAGTTGTCACTGAACGAATGTAAGAATATAAAACCAACTTTATCTCCGTCTCAATCTTTCAGCCCCTTGGAAGTCTTTCAGAAGACATACAAATGATACTTTGCCCAAGCATACTGATTTAAACTTAGCATTAGTCCTATTATGCCAACAACAACATGCTGATTTTAAGATACGATTCTATCACTTTATTAGAAATGTTTCTAACACATCTACTTTTTGAATACAAAAACAAAGTGTTTGCGTGCATTAGTTGACCTGAGAAAACAGCATGTTTATTGGAGGTGAAGAATCAAATAACGTGTAATGTTTAACTCGATTGGACGTTTGAACTTTGCCCCTGTGTAAGGTGTTGGTTTGAACAATTCAGTTACAAAATGATTTAATCAATTTGGCCAGATAGGTTAGGTGAATAGTTTGTACGTCAAGGTGACTAGATTGTACGTCACATACAATTTATTTTAATAGCACTCCAGAAGTAATTTTCCCACAAGCATTATAGGCTATAAGCCATAAACCAAACCAACCAGAATCCCAACATTTACAAGCTTTGATTTGACACAAAACAGTATATGAAAATTGTAAAAGGAAAATATCATACTTTATAGTAGGGCTGCACAATATATCGTTTCAGCATCGTTATCGCAATGTGCGTGTCCGCAATAGTCACATCGCAAGATATGCAATGTAAAAAGACATTTCAAGAAAGCGTAAAGCATTCGGACACAATATTGTGAAACATTTTGTAACTTAATTGAAGAGAAAATATACTGATTTATTAATACAATGAAGATTATATGGTTTTATTTTACATTACAATATTAAATTTCTGTATTTGAATACTTTTTCACTCTCCGGAAATTCATAAAGCATTATTTATTTTACTTTTTCTTTGCTCTATTGTAATCATTCTTGCAATTTTTTTTTTCATATACATGATTCACACCCTTAAAAAAAAAAAAAAAATAAATAAATATATATATATATATATATATATATATATATATATATACACACACACACACACACACAAGGTGTATAAGCAGCGCCAAAAACTCTCGCCATTCAAAACCATGAACCATTCAAAAGATGCGCCTCTCAAAACAAAAATTGCTTTCTGTGTGATCGACTATATTTAATGATAGTTCACTGTGTTATTTTGTGAATTATGTTTGTTATGACTTATTTTAATATATATTTTTTTCATTGTATGTAAATGTGTTGAACTGTCATTGTCTTCGTTTGTTTAACTTTTTCTTTAATACTATTATTATTATGATTATTATTATTATTATCTTTATTATTTATTCACTTTTTTTTGCATATGTATATATTTTTATGGCTCTGTCGAGTCAAAAAAAAAAACAGGTCAGTCTATAAAGACTTACCAATTTTTGTTAAAAAATGAATAAATCTATTTCCCTATGGAGAAAATGAAATGAATGAGTTTTTCTTTCAGAACTCAAAGTGTTGCACTGTTCATTGATAATACAAAGAAATTGATTTTGCTTATTAGTTATCTGACATGTAGAAACATGGTCTTGACTGATTATACAAAAAAATATCAGTCAGTCTTTATGTAATAGATTTTTTTTTGTAATTTTGTTTTGAAAGACAAACTTTCCTGAAACCAAATTTTGATCCGGGGCCTGACTTGTTTTTAACAGGTCAGTTGTTCCCCACAGAGGGCTGATCCGCTAGCCTTGTTTTTCCATAATGGGGGGAGGTGAAAAGAGTATTTTGGAGCTCTACAGTTTTGATAATTGTGGATCAGGAGTGCAAAGAGTGGCTTTTATCTTCTGCTGGTCAGCTGTTATGTGACTTGTCAAAACCAGGCCGTACATCCCATAACAGGGGTGATAAATGTCCTCACAGAAGATGCGTTGCTTTTGTGGTCAGAACAATTTTTTGTTGTCCTTTTGTTTACTGATTGAACATGGGTGACTTAGATTTGGCTCTTTTTAGGTCATTTTATATTAGTTGTCACAATGTTTTGTGTTTATATGTCTAGACTAAATGTAGATCATGATCTTGTGAGTTGCAGAATTCCATGTGTTGCAAAGCAACCCGGAAAGTCCAACACCAGCCTGACCAGTAAATGAGTGTTGGGTGGATTTGTGTGATACAGAGGCGCACCATAATTGTATATCGATGACATGCAAATTAGGTTTTTATTGTTGCAACAAGTTATTTTAGTTGTGCCTCTGAAATCTAGTGTGTAGTCCCATACCACATCTAATGAGTAGTTTAAACAATTCCCTTTATCAGGCCAATCGAGAGGTTGGTGTATTTGGCAGGTGTTTTAAGTTTATTTGGCAAGCTCGAGTATTGGTTTAAGCAACCGGTGTCATGTTGAAACATGCAGAAATGTAGCAGTCCTGTTTTGATGGTGCGTTTTGGTCTGCCTTTCCTGCAGCTCTGTGAGAACATAGTTAGGTGAACACTTCATAAAAAATAAATTTAAGCCCGACCACCTGTTTGAACACCATGAACCCTACGGCTCATGCAATGGAGGTCTGACAACTGGACTGCTTACATGGCATAAAGAAAACCTGTTTGGTCACTCAACCAAGAGTCATGTGACAGGCTGAAGGGAAGTTTGAAGCAGAAAGGTGTATCTTACCTCGCTCTGCAAACCACTGAAAGCTTTAATACTCGCAGGGAAGAAATACCCAGCAGGTTGGGACAAGCTTTTGTCTTGAACGTGGGCAGGTCTCCGGCATAGTATGTGGTTTGAATTGCTTTGCCCCTTTTCAAAGTGAGGTTTAGAGTGCTTTTCATTAAGCTTGAAATGCTTTGAAGTATTTGTGTGGCAAAATTTAGCGCCATGGCTGACACACTCGGCATTATTTGAACATCACATGAAAATCTAGAGCGTTTGGTTTTCACAATTAATAATGCAGTCTTAATGCATGCATGCAAGCAAAATACCTCTTATTAAGTCTTTTAGTTTTTATTTGACATTCGTTTTTTTGTTTGTGACCAGAAATGCACAGCGGGGATGTAATAAACGGCATACTTTTGAAATCCAGCTAGTTGCTTGCTTGCCTGAATGACTAATGGACTGAATAATTAGGTCATATTCAATATAATAAAGAAGTAATCCAGCTGACCTCTTTTTTTTAAAAACCTTTGTAGATTGCCAAAGTTGTATTAGTAACTACAAAACGAAACAAAAAAAGTTTTTTTTATTGATAAAATTTATTAGTGGCATAATTAATGAAAAGTAAATTGATATGACAATTCAGCAAAAAGTAAATCAGTACTCAGTAAATCAGTAAAACAGTAAATCCCCTCAAAGGACCAGAGACCACTCTTTTTTTTTTTTTTTTTTTTTTTTGAAACTGCAAATATGCGGCAAAAGAGAAGATTGGGGGTGGGGGGGGGGGGATCAAATCGAAAAATTTATTTAACTGCCTTTGAGTGACTAATAAACACTGTAAAATTATCTCAAATAGTAATTTATTTTAAGGTGAGCTTAGAGTACAAATGTTATTAAATGGGCTTCATGTGGTTTGTAGCAGCAACACAGAGCCATAGGCTACGTTTGCACTAATCCGGATAAATTTGAAAGCGGGATTGTCTAAAAATGTCTTTAAAAAAAGTCCACACATTTTCAGGTCTTTCGAAAAAAAAATTGGTCATTTACGTTAAACTGACTAAAAGCGCATTTGTTCATGCACTGTGCATGCGCACAGCTGTACGGCGCTGGTGTTTATTTACTTTCCGTCTCTATTAAACGTTGCGGCAAAAAGTCGCAGTTGTCGTCTGCTTCTGCCAATGAACAACAGCTCCCTGTAAACATTGTGTGTCCTTTTGAAAAGAGGCAATATGGAGCATGTATAAACAAAGGGTTACCAGGCTCGTTGATTTCTGATAACCAAAAAAACCAAACCCATCAAAGTGGTAAAATCTGTGTCTGATCAGGACTCTGACAGAGTCTGCTAATAGCATTTGTCTTTCATGCGTTATGTTATTAT